CCATTTGAGTGCCTTCATTCTCACTCTGCTCCGCATCAATACATTTCATCATTGAGTTTATTGAGGAGCTGTCCTAGGAGCTTTTGCATACAGTGCACCAGGCAGACTGGAAAAGAGTTGAAATACTACATTTTTCGGAATATAAAATGCACTTTCCCCCCCCTCCCAAAAGTGGGTGGAAATGTCTGTGCGTCTTATACAGCAAATGTTGCCGAAGTCCCGCCCACCCACTGGCCCTCACTCTTCGGCCATTTTCAGCCTCTGTGTCACATTTTCGGCCTCCGCACACCATGTTTTCGGCTTCTTCGTGTTGCATTTTCGGCTGCCGTACATCGCATTTTTGGCCGGTTCCAAGCGGCGGGGATTGGCAGCGGGTATCCTCAACCGCCAATCCCCGCCGCTTGGAACTGCCAAAAATGCAATGCACAGAGGCCAAAAATGGGGCGTGTGGAGGCCGAAAATGTGATGCGTGGAGGCCGAAAACGTGACATGCGGAGGCGGCAATTGGGGGTAATGTGCTGTGGCAATCCCAGGAGTCTGGAACAGGTCTAAAATGGGGCATGCGGAGGCCGAAAACATGATGCACGGAGGCCAAAAACTCGACACACTGAGGCAACGATGGTTGTGGTGAGCCCCGCAGCCTGGAACAGCTGATTGGCGGTATTCTGAGAGGCTGATCCAACCGCCAATCAGCTGCTCATGCTGAATCAAGCTGCGATAATGTGCTGAAGCTGACCAAGCTGTTTGCTGCAAGGACGCTAGTCAGATGAATATCAATGGATGCTGGTAGGCAGAGACAGCATTTTTTTTTCTTGTTTTCCTCCCCAAAAACTAATGTGTGCCTTATACTCAGGAGCATCTTATACTCTGAAAAACATGGTACTCTGTTGAGGACGTCTGTGAAGCTGGTGATACAGGAATTACTTTACTCTCATCCATACTTCTGTTCCGATGGTTTCAAGATTGTCCTCGAGACATTCAAGATCCTTTTAGGAGGCTACAAATGCTTGCCATTGTCTCACAGGCTTTGTGTTCTGCAAGTAGATCTCACAGAATTGCTAAGAGTAAGAGGAATCGTGTGTGTGTGTGTGCATGAGCACACCTGAAAATAATTCTCATACTCATCTTCATAAAGCCAACATAATATTAGGACACACAAGTAGAAACTGGTCCAACTTTAGGCCAAATACTGGCAGCATTCTAGTTCTGACTTCACACATTATTTTCAAAGCACTGTAAAACATTCATTATAAATAGGCATTTAGTGAGATTTTATGGTAAAACATTTTGCAGGAGAATATTTATTTAATGAGCTTGGCTGCTAGCCAGCTTTCCCAAATATCTTGTGATTAGCTACTTTGTTCTCTTTAAACATTTTAACAGATGTAGTTCTCCCAACTATTAGCTTCCTTGGGAATTCAGAGATGGCGAGAGAGAATTTTCAAATAACGTTTGAAAAATGCTGCCATGGAAAAACAAATCCTCCATACGATCCCTAAATGTTCTCTTCTCACTAGCAGATCTAGTGCTTGTCAAACCCCCAAAAATGTTTTCTGCAAATATTTCAGGGTCACTTGAGAAAGCTCTGGTTAGATTCCCTTGTGTGTCTCTTAATTGAGACTTCTCAGTGTTTGCTCCATCACAACAGATCCTGGTTTTCTGCTCAACCTGCTCTCTAATTTACCTTCCTAAGGATGTCTGTTTTAATCTTTTCACTGCATTTTAAAGATCGCTTTTGTTCCATTTATTGAATGAATTCTGACTGTCTGCTCCCATTTACCTATTAGTTGATTTGACACCTTTGAGTATAAATACATAAAAACAAACCTATTAGGTTTTCCAGATTAATGCCCTTGAAGTGATGTCTCAGTGCCTGGAGGCTGTGAGGATCTGGATGGGGAAGAACAGGCTCAAGCTCAACCCTTCCAAGACTGAGTGGCTGTGGTTCCTGGCATCCCGATAGAGTCAGCTGACTCCATCGCTGACTATTGGGGACGAGTCTATGGCCCCCTCGGAGAGGGCACGCAATCTGGGAGTCCTCCTGGATACGCAGCTGTCCTTGGAGGAACATCTGACGGCTGTAGCCAGGGGGATCTTTTGTCAGGTTCGCCTGATTCGCCAGTTGCGACCCTTTCTTGATCGGGATTCCATGTGCACAGTCACTCATGCCCTTATCACCTCTCGCCTGGACTACTGCAACGCTCTCTACATGGGGCTCCCCTTGAAGAGCACCCGGAGGCTCCAACTGGTCCAGAATGCGGCCGCGCGGGTAATTACGGCAGCTGCATGGCGCTCCCACATAACACCGCTCCTGTGCGAGCTGCACTGGCTCCCAGTGGTCTTCCGGGTGCGCTTCAAGGTGTTGGTTACCACCTTTAAAGCGCTCCATGGCATAGGATCTAGTTATCTTCGAGACCGCCTGCTGCTACTGACAACCTCCCAGCGACCCGTGCGCTCCCACAGAGAGGGCCTCCTCAGGGTGCCATCAGCCAAACAATGTAGGCTGGTGACCCCCAGGAGGAGGGCCTTCTCTGGGGGGGCACCTACCCTCTGGAATCAGCTGCCCCCAGAGATAAGGAGAATCCAAGACCTCGGTGCCTTCCGCCGTGCCCTTAAAACTTTCTTTTTTCATCAAGCCGGGCTGGCTTAACATATTTTTTAATTTTTAATTTTTAATTGGTTTGTCATTTTAAACTGGGGCCAAATTAATATATATTCTTTTAATTGTTCTTAATGTTTATATTGTATGTTTTTATCTGGCTGTACACCGCCCTGAGTCCCTTGGGAGAAGGTGCGGTATATAAATTTGAAATAATAATAATAATAATAAAAAAAAATGGAGGACTTCTGTTTGGAAAGTAAGACAGGGCGACAAGATTCAGCAGTCCATCTGCATTTGAAAGACAAAGGTCACTCTTTTGAAGACAGCAAAGTCCACATTCTGGACAGAGAGGACCACTGGTTTGAAAGAGGGGGTCAAAGAGGCCATCTGAACAGCCCCATCTCAATAGAGGAGGCACCACCTATCCCCTGTTTACAACACAGGCCTTTCAGCAGTTCCAAGAAGATTCCACACCCATTTGCACTATTCAGGTGACCCTGAGGGCATAGACAAACCTCCAAGTGGCCTCAACAACTCTCAGAAAGAGTGCTAATGACCAGATGACTGCAAGGAATACAAATCCTCCCATCCTCCACCATTCAGTTAGAACTGAAGAAGCTTCCTGGATGAAAAGCAAAACTAAGTCCAGTTGCCTTTTGAAAAAAGCACCTTTGGGATAAGACTGGAGACCCTCAAAGTGCATGATAGTTGCCATATCACACCCTCAGTTGTGGTCACACCCTTTCTTATGCCAATGCAGACTCATATCTGCAGCAGCCTTTGCATATTTGTACGATTAAGCCAAACTCATCAGATGTATCTTTGTTTTCTCTTGCAAGCTGCATTGTCCCTGCCAAGAAATCCTAAGAATAAAAATGGGCAAATACTGTGGGCAGGATGACTGGTTTCATGCAATAACAAGGTCCATTTATTCAAAGACCTTGTCCCGTGACCTCAAGATACAGCCACTAATTGTTCTTTGTGACTTGGATGTGTGATTTCCATCTGAATGCCCACAACAGTATTACCAAAGTAACCCACGAAGGGGCTATGTTTCTCAGCATGTTTTACTGTTAAATAACAAAAGAGCTTGTTTGATTTAGAGGCCTGAGCTACAAGCAAGCGAGGAACATGATTCTCTTTCAAAAGGTAAGTAGTTGGGCACATGCGTATGATGGGAAATAGAAAACTGGACTGGAATAATAAATGGAATGAACAAAGAGGAGGCCTTTGTTAAATAATCATAGTCATCACCACCATCATGAATAGGGTAATTTACACAGAGAAGTTCAACATCATGGTTTATCATCATCGTAATCAAACTACTATGATTATCATTATTATATTTTATCATCATCACTTCGATTGTACTCAAGATACAGTAATGGAAATGTCCCATTTATGTTATTTAAAGACTGAAATAATCATGTTAACATACAGGTGCTAACAACATAACAGGGTGTGAAATACAAATGGATGATGTGGTAGGGAGTCTTAGTTTAGGACTAAGTTTAGGACTAAGACTAAGACTTGGCTATCTATAGTATTAGATGTAAAGAAAGAAAATCGGCTCAGTTTTTAAGCATTGTTAAACCCTGATTATACCAAATATTATTGAATAATCATTCCACTAAACTGATAGGGAGGCAGCTGATAAACAAAACCCAGCAACCATTTTAAGATTATGATAAAGTTTGCAAGCAGTGCATTGTGGGGTATCTAAAATGATTACAATGCCTGTGAATTGTTGTTGTTTTTTTTAAATCTAAGGCTGGAAAACAATTTTTATTTACCATACAGTATTTTTCGGACTATAAGATGCACCGGTATATAAGATGCACCAAGATTTCGAAGAGGTAAGTAAGAAAAAAAGAGGTTTTTTTGCCCTCCCCGAACCCCAGGAGGACTCTGCAGGCACCCCAAACCCTCTGCGCACTCTGTTTTTGTGAAAAACAGGCTCATTTTTCGCAAAAATGGGACGAGCGGGGCGCGGCTTCAGGAGGCCAAAAATGGCTGTATTCAGTGTATAAGACACACCAACATTTCCATCCTCTTTTAGGAGGGAAAAAAGTGTGTCTTATATTCTGAAAAATACGGTAGCCTTAGTTTGCTTTATTTCCTTGAAATTAGTTGATTATAGGCCTTCTGAAAACTTACACATATTCACCAGCCCGAAGCATAAAACAGCACTTAGCCTTATATACCACCACAAGATGCTATGGGTGGTTTACAATGCCATTATACCACCCCCAACAATCTCGCTCCTCATTTTACTGACCTCGGAAGGATAGAAAGCTGAGTCAACTCAGGATTAAACTCCAGGCTATGGGCGGAGTCAGCCTGCAATACTGCATTCTAACCACTGGGCCACCAAAGCTTAATAAAAGCATAAAATTACCTCTTCCAGCCTCCGCCTCTGCTCTTTCTGCTCCTCAATTCTCTTCTGACGTTCCGCCAAGAGCTGCCTCTTGTGCTCTTCATTTTCACGCTGTTGCTGCTCCAGCTGCTGCCGACGGAGGGCCTCCGAGCGTTCCTTGTTTGCAAGCTGAAGCCGCAAAAAATCTCGCCTTAAGGTCGATTCTCCAGGCAGGTTTAGGATGGAGCTTTATCAGGGAGATAAACTTACATTAGTCCAGCATTCAATCCGCACAAGTTCTTGAATCCCTCCCCCTTTCCTGCCAGTCAACTCAATTTTAAGATTTACCTGAAGCTTCCTGAATTTGGGCATCTTCTTGCATATAGCTACATACTTAAAATTCTCTACATCAACATATCCAAACTTTAGCCTTGAATAGACTATTGAATCATAGGGCTGGAATGGACCTCAGAGGTCTTCTACACCAACTCCCTACTCAATGCAGGAGATCTCTGGTCAAATGGTTGCCCAGTCTATTTTTTAAAACCTCCAGTGATGGAGCACCCATAGGTCCAGCTATTCCAGTAATTAATTGTTCTCACTGTCAGAAACTTTCTTCTTACTTCTAGATCGGATCTCTCTTTAACAAGCTTTCACCCATTACTTCTTGTCCTGCCTTCTGGTGCTTTGAAGAATACCTACATCAACCCCTCTTCTCTGTGACAGCCACTCAAGGACTGGAAGATATTTACCATGTCCCTCTCTCCTTCTCTTTGATAGGACATACCTAGTTCCTTCAATTATTTGCATGCCAGCTTGCAAATTTAGTAATTGCTAAATTATTCCTTGGCACTTTTCAGAAAGCTCCCTCACTTGGTTGCCTCAGCAAGTAGAAGATTAAACTTAAATACCACATTCACTCATAGCGAAGCCAAGAATTTCAGGTGCCAAAATACTGTACGCTCAATAATGGGATTTGATTTATCCATGAATGGACTTATCCACAAATATATACAAATAGGTTTGTTCCTCATCTTTTTAAAAATACCTGTCTAGTATTTGTATATCCTGTATACACTTGTGTGTTAATTTCATCTGTGAATGAGCAGCCCCTCAATTTTTAAGCCAATTGTGAAAATTAAAATATATGAAAATTTTGAGAGTTGGCTTATCCTCAGGGGGCATGTTTTTCATGGCATGTTTTAACTATGATACGGGTTAAAAATTCAAGGGTCATTTTATGGGCTTATCCACAAGAATATATGGCATCTAAGCATCTGAAATATTTCATTTGCTCAGTAGTTCTTCCATTTATCATTCATCTAGCTGTGGAGCTAAAGCATTGACTTGAAAATACTCAGGCTACTTTTTTTGAATGATCTATTTTGAAGCATTCTTTATTGCACTAGGCTGATGACTCTCCAAGACACTTTCATTGCCCAACTTTTGATGGAATGGCTGCATCATCTGCATATAAAAGAACTGATAGGAGGTGGCTGGGAAAGAACTTAAGTTCATAAGCATGGAGAGTGCCCAGATTGGAAAAGACCTTTCTATACAATTTACACGGCAAATTCATCTTAATAGCAATAGCACTTAAGATGTATATACTGCTTCATAGTGCTTTATAGTCCCCTCTAGGCGGTTTACAGAAACAACATATTGCCTCAACAATCTGGGTCCTCAGAAGGATGGAAGGCTGAGTCAACTTTGAGATGGTCAGCATTGAACTGCTGGCAGCTGGCAGAGTTAGCCTGCAATACTACATTCTAACCACTGAGCTACCATGGTTCTCCACTAAGCCACCATGGTTCTTAATGAAAGTAGAATAGAAAAAGCTTCCTCCTCATTGTGAGACATCAAATAAAATCCCTACAGTTCCTGTTTTAATATCATATCCCGAAATATATATCACCTAAGAGATTTTCAGACGTTCAGTTTTTCTATTCTACAAAAAGTGGAGAATAAACAGAGAACAAAAGCAGGCGTCAGATAGTAGAGGAAGAAGAAGAAAGAGAAGAGGCCACAGAGACTAGTATTTCCTCATTTATTTTCATACAATTTACAGTTGTAAGAACACAAAGTCTCAGCCTGTAATTACAGCTCAGCTGAGATTTTATTTCATTGTAGTCAGCTTTTGTTGCTAGTTGATGTCCAGTGCAGAAATACAATGGAGGCAAGTGACAAAAGCTTTTTATAGACTCAAAATTCTATTGGACAAAGAACTTTATTCCAATATGTATAAATTTCACATATGGGGGAAGGACACATTTTCATTCTAACCCTCTCTCTTATGGGCAATATTTCTATATTCTGAGAGTTTATTTTTCCTGAGAGTTTATTTTCACATGCAAGCTTTAGAGAAGGAGTTAGCAAAAATGTTTCCAGGTTTTCCTGGAAATTGTAGCTGGACTGACCCAAGTATTCCCTGGGACAGTGTTTCCCAACTTCGACAACTCTATTACTGCCACTAAGGAATTTGTTGCTGCATACTTATGTTCCATCTGTCCAACCCTCTTGGAGGCACAAAAAAAATGAGAGCATAGCCAGAACAGGGACAAATGTGCATTACCTGGGTTCTCCAGAGTCATTTTCTTCCTCTTCCTCCTCACTTCCACTGTACTCGTATTCTGTCTCATCTAGGAATATAATTAAGGGTCAATGCACTCTTTGAAAACCATAGTTAATTTAAAAAAAAAAACTGTGAAGTTCTGGTGGAGAAAGAAAACTTTCTTTTCATTACAAATTATTTCAGGATTGATTTGTCTCAGCTTGAAATTCATCAAACCAACAGAAAGAATGGATGAAATAGAGAAAAAGGAAGATAGAGAGAGTTTGAGTGCACAGTAGGGTGTTTCTTCAAACAGGGCCCTCTATTGCATTAGGCCTACCTGCCTCAGGTGCCTTCCTATTGTGTCAACTTCCATTCCTAGAATTTTCAAGCCAACATGGTAATATAGGTACTATGGGTTGTAAGTACATGGATCTACACCATTTGCTTGAAGTTATGATGGCACTTAAAAAAGTGACTTACAACTGGTCCTCACACTTACATCATTGAAGCATCCGCCTGGTCACATGGTTAAACTTTGGCCCTTGGCAACTGGCATTGATTTATGATGGCTGACACTTTCCAGGTCACATGATTGCGATCTGCAACTCTGTTTGTTTCCGAAAAGCAAAGTCAATAAGGGAAGCCAGGTTCGCTTAATGACCATCTGCTTCCATTAACAACCATGGTGATTAAAGCATGGCAAAAGAGGTCATAAATCGGGAGTGACTCGCTGAAGAACTGCCTTGCTTAGCAATAGAAGTTCTATTGAATTGTAGTCATATGTCAAGGACTACCTGTATTGAGAACAACTAGAAATTAGGATAATCTATGTGGTTAGAAAATACTTTTCTGAAAATGGAAGAAGCAAGTGAAATAGATTAATGAGAGTTTATAACAGAACAAGCAGTTTTCTATCTTTATATTGTTATGCTGAAACTTCTGGCCACTCTGAATAATATTCAGGATTGATATATTTTCATTTTGTATTTCCTCCTTTCAAATGTAGAAACAATATAAGTTTGTATTCATCCAATTATTTGTCATGCCTGGGATATAATCTTCCATTTTCATGACAAAAGATGTTTAACACCACTTAACATCTGCTTGATACTATTCAAAGGGGGTATGATTTGTGTCAGATATTATAGGAGGAAGGAAATGGATGATCTCCTGCCCCCTTTACATGCTGCTTTTACAAGAATGGAGATTGCAATGTGTTAATTGCAAGTATTTTACAGTTAGTGAGTAAACCAGAAATGCATTCAGATGTGCTCTATTAACAATCTGTCATATTATAGATTTGTTTAAATGACAGCAATCCTACTCTTTTGAAATGTCTAAAGGATTACAGCATTAAAATGATAAAATAAGTGATGAGCCTGTGGTCAAACATAGCTTTTTGCTGGCTTTTCATACACTCAAATAAAATACTTTCTACTTGCTTTGCTAATGGGAGCCAAGAGTAGCCTTCCAGGATTAAATTTTCATAGAAAAGGTAGGTAGGCAGATGGGCCTGCATTAGTATTTATCTAGCATTAGAGGTGGATTTTAAAAACATCTTCAGAGACAACTGTGGGAAGGAGAAGCTAGAGAATGGAGGTGGTGGTTGGCACCCATAAAGAGTTAAAGGAAAGTAGGCAATTCCAGTGGCTGTTGTATCTGGATTGATGATTTCAATCCCGAAACAAGGTGGATAGCCATCCTAAAATGGATTAGGCAGGTGCTGCTTGCCTGAAAGCTTTTTAATTTGTAAGTGGTCCCCAAATATCATCAATTTGTTTGAGAGAGAAAATGTGGGAAGAGCGCTAAATGTGAAGGATACTGGGACTGGAGCGAATCTGCTCATTGCAGAGATCCCTCGATAGGGCTAAATATGACGGAAGAAAAGAAATTTTATTTGCCAAAAGATCATTATATTAGATCAAGGTGAGTTGACCTAACAAGAGAGAAGGAAAAACATCATCATCACTAATACCTGTGAACTGTGTGTGTGTGTGTGTGTGTGTGTGTGTGCCTTCAGGTCAGTGTTGATTCCTGGCAACTGGCTTTTTCAGAAGTGGTTTGCCACTGCATCTTTTCCTGGGATGACAGAGAATGGCTGACCCCCTGGCCACCCATCTGGCTTTGTGGCTAAGGTGGGACTTAGAATTCAGTGTCTCATGCTCAGAGGTAACAAAGAATTGAAAACTGGAGTGCAGGGGGAAAATACGACCTCACTTGTACTTCTGACACACTGTTTTTTATCTGAAGGGAAGAATAAACTTTTGCAATGGCATACAGAGCAATTAGGTGGCTATAAATTTTATGTACAAAGCTTGAGGCTATAAAAGGGAAGCTGTTTTCTACTGTGTTTCATAAATAGTTGAAATGAAGTAGGAAAAAAAACCTCTGTCTCAATCAATTTCTATGAATCCTTAGATACACCCCAAGGCAGTATAAATAAAGTGGGTTTATCATTTCTCTAAAATATTCCATTCTTTCTAACAAAACAGAATGTGAAACGAACATTTATCCCTCTGTGCTAAAAAATAAATAAATAAATAGATCAATGTGAAACACACTTCATACTGCTTTTTTAATTTAAATGCAAGCCAACCAAGAATTATCTAGTCTCTAACTATTGGGTCTATTTGATTTATTGATTTGTGATATTTACATCCAGGTTTTCTATATAAGTTTCTGAGTCATATGCCGTACTCCCTTTTCCTGTTTTCATTCTGCTCTAAAATTGGTTAAGAGCTACATGCTCTAGTTCCTAAATAATATGAAGAACACAAAAGGTTACTAAGCACCCAAAATACTGAGGCAAATGTTTTTTTTTTTTATTGCTTTGCTTTCTTCTCCCACAGAGAAATGTGAAAATATAGCTGTTTACTACAATGCGAGCCCTTTTATGTTCTTATATCCCTGGACCAATGCAATTTTTTTCACCACTGGCCACTTAGAACAATATTTTATCTTACCTTTTTCTCCTCGTTTTTTCTTAGTCCTGTCAATGTGGTCTTTGAGCTGGATTCGAACCTGCCTTTCATTTGGCTGGTCTCGAATAAATGGGTGCTTCATCAGCTGTTCAGTGGTTGGCCTCTGACCATGGTTTTTCACCAGGCAGCTTTCAATGAAGGACTGGAATTTTTTGGACCTATCAAATCAGAGAATTGGAGATAGATGTACAGGAAAAGGTTTGGTTAATACCGATATTTATGAGTTAGGGTTTTGTCAGTCTTGGACAACGTTAAAAGGATTGTCCCTGTAAGAAAGCCATCTATTCTGTGAGCATGTTAGTGTCAACCCTGAAGCAAACCTGGCTGAGGCCATGTTTGAGGCTTCAGGATTGCCACTAGATGGGAGGGGGAGGGAAATAGTTAACTGGGATTTTGCAGTCAAAACAAAAGGTTTTCCTGAGGGAACCAAGGTCATTCCAAAAAGTGGCTGGGAGAGGAGGAGGAGCAAAGTAACCAAGCAACTGGCCAGCACTTCTATTGGACCATGTGACTGAAGACTTGGGGAAAGGAGAAAACTTTCTCTTTTAATTAGGTGAAAACCATGGGGACTTTCAGAGTCTGTTTTCACCAGTTGTGCCAATATGATGTATCCAATAAATTGTTCTTTGAGGAATCTACCTGCCTTGGAGTTTTGCTTTCAAGGGGGGTATTACTTGGAATGTTGACAGCTAGGTCAGCAAGTTGGTGGACCCTCCAACCTTTTATCAAATTAGCTGAGAAATAAGTGAGTTAGAATTACATTTTTGATACCCCACTGAAGAACTTGGGGTCAATTATTTTACATTTTAAGACTTTTTGGGCTTTTCTTACTGCCTTGAGGAAGATCCGTGAAATTCAATATGTTGCTGCAATTATATACAGGATCGTACTGTAACTCCAATAGAATGAAAGAGAGTAAGAGGGCTAAATGAGCAAGGAATTCATATTTTTATATATTTTTATGTATAAATGGACCATTAGAAATAATACCAATATTATGTTTATTATTAAATAATACTACGGTGGACGTGCCCTGTGGCCAAAAAAAATTGGGCAAATATAAAGAAATGGCTAGAAAAAATAATAGACCAACCAATTGAAAGAAAGCCAGAAACATTCTTATTAGGAATATTTACGAGAACATACACCAAAGAAATAAAATATCTGATTCTACACACCATAACAGCCACACGAATAACATATGCACAAAATTGAAAACAGGAAAAGACACCAACAGATGAAGAAGTGATAGAAAAATTTTTAGAATGTGCCGAGATGGACAAATTAACAAAAGAAATTAAAGAAAAAGAAGAGACAGATTATTACATAATTTGGAACAAATGGTATGAATGGCTTGAGACTAGAAATAAAGAACAATAAACACAGGGGAGAATCTAAAAATGTAAAATATGTACATAACAAATATATAGAAATGTATAAAATTAAGGCTATTAGTGTCAGAAAATACTATGTAACCAAAGAAAAAGGGACAAGGAAGAAAATGAAACAGAAAAAAGAGGGGAAAGTACAAAACGGAAAGAAGACCACTAAGAAACATTAGTTAAAAAGAGGATATATTTATATGTTGTATGTTATGTGATTGTCATATTGTGTTAGAATAAAATTAAAAATTTAAAAAAAAAGAAAAGAAATAATACTAATGACAGAAACAATTAACAACTTAAGCTGCTACTAATACAGGAAGTCTAAACATGTCCCATGTATTTCAATGGAAACCGAAGGGAGAATGCTTTAGGAAGTTGCTGCCTTGTTTGGATACACGCATGAACATGTGTAAATGAAAAAAACAGGTCAACAATATTTTCTGCTTCAGAGGAACCTTTCAATGAACTGGAAAGATAGGTGAGTATAATAAGATTGCCATCATATTTTCTAATGATGAATTAATTCCACTTCAATATACAAACAATATGTTCAATTTAGCTTTGGCTTATCTCCAAGAGCCTTGTAAAATTCAGTTGTAAAAATGTCTAAACAGTGGTTTTCTTCATTTTCTAATGTTTTATCCACTGTTTGGATAACCATGCCAGTGCCAAGTATCTCTTACATTTTGTGAAACAGGGAAATAAATATTCAGATGATCTCTAAAGAACTTTTTTCTGCCTTCTACCAAACATCACAATTTAAGATAGTCTTAAATAGTAGCAGCAGTTGCCTTGCTAATCACATTGCATTTTAAAAAATGGTTTAAATATGAATTATTTTGCATACCACTAATTACTAGTGTTCTGAAATAATCAATAATATGAGTTTTACCGGAACTATCTTGTTCTTTCGTTAGTTAGTTGCCTAACAAAAGAACAAGATAGTTCCGGTAAAACTCATATTATCTTTTTAGTCTAAAACACCAACACAGATAATTCATTCATGTAACTCAGAATTATCTAAGCTAGTTTGCTGCGACTCTTTTTCCCCCCATAGTTTTTGTAGTCCTCCCTGAAGATCATCATCATCTTCTTTTAACGATCCCATAATCCCTTGCGGGGTGGAGCCTGGGCAACTGAATGGAGCTAGCAGAGTGTTTAATGGCCTGATGCCCTTCCTGTCGCCAATGCAGAGTTTTGTTCAGCAGATATAATCTCATTGTGCCCAGAGAGAGAAATATCTGCCTCTACCTAGGATTGAACTCACAGCCTCCTGATTGTGAGGCGAGAACTCCACCTCTAGGCCACCGCACCACTCCTGTAGTCTTCCCTGAAGATATCAGTGCTAAATGTGGGAAGACAATCTTCCTCCAGGTGGTCCTTCAAAATTTCCAATGATATACTAGATAGCAATAGACTTATATACCGCTTCACAGAGCTTTACAGCCCTCTGTAAGTGGTTTACAGAGACAGCATATTGCCCCCAACAATCTGGCTCCTCATTTTACCAACCTTGGAAGGATGGAAGGCTTGAGTCAACCTTGAGCCAGTGAGAATTGAACTGCTGGCAGTCAGCAGAATTAGCCTACAATACTGCATTCTAACCACTGCGCCACCAGGGCTTGTGCAGATCAAAAGTATTAGGTGGAATCAAGTATATGGTGCAAGAGAGAGGTTTCAGCAGGTTCTGACCAGTTCTGGAGAACCGGTAGCGGAAATTTTGAGTAGTTTGGAGAACCGGTAAATACCACCTCTGACTGGCCCCACCCAATCTATTCTCTGCCTCCCGAGTCCCAACTGATTGGGAGGAAACAGGGAATTTGCAGTAACCTTCCCTTGGAGTGAGGAGGGAATGGAGATTTTACATTATCCTTCCCCTGCCATGCCCACTAAGCCACGCCCACCAAGCCATGCTACGCCCACCAAGCCACACCCACAGAACCAGTAGTAAAAAAATTTGAATCCCACCACTGGTGCAAGGCATATATCGAAGGCACTTTTTTGTTCATGAATCTTACACTGTTACTGATACACAACAAAAATCTCAAACCTCAAATTCAGACTATTCGGAGAGACTGTTTGAAAAACTGAGGAAGAAGTGCAAAATGGATCCTCCTATGAGGATGTACCATACAGCCTAACTGATGAACCTGTTCAAACCACACAGGGGAATGTATTTTCAGGAGATCGAAATAATTTAATTGAGTTCAACCTTGCCAGTCAAAAACAGCTCCAGAGGCATCAGATCGCTTACCTCATCGGTTTGGATAAAGCAAAAACGCTTCAGACCCTTCTAAAAGCAAGCCCACGATGCTCAATGCGTTTGAACCATCAATTTTACAAGAGGCTTTCGTGAGCATCAACAGCTTGTGAAAAAATGGCTTCTTCATGTTTAACAGATACAAACACTGCATGGCTGCAGCTCTGTGACAGCTGACCAATAAGACCCAGTTGCTGTTGGATTGTCTTTTAAATTATTCTTATATGCTCCATATGATAAAGAAGCTTCAACTTTTATAATGGTCGCCTATATGTAATGGATACATTTCTGAATGCAAAAAACAAAAGAATGAACTCCTGACACCAATCTGCTTATCCGCAGCAGCTGTCATCAAATGATAATCCACAGGCTCAAATAAAAATCTGAACGTAGGGGAAGAGAGTCTGGTATGTTAAGCCATTAAGTTAGCAAAAAATGCTGCTTATCAACAAGACTTACTGTATCACTCTAGAGCAGATACTTCCTCTAAGCATAATTACAAAGTTGTGTAGGTAAATAACAACATTAATAAAGGGTGCTAGCCAGGCTTTGGAGTAAGAATGCTTTAATAAAAACATTTACTTCTAGCAAAAGGCCTTCTTATGGTAAACACATTTATCTTGGAGAAGGGATGTTGCAAAAAATTATGTACAGGTAATCCTCGACTTACAATAGTTCATTTAGTGACTGCTCAAAGTTACAACGGCACTGAAAAAAGTGACTTATGACCATCTTTCACACTTAATGACCACTGCAGCATCCCCATGGTCACATGATCAAAATTCGCTTGGCAGCCGACTGATATTTATGATGGTTGCAGAGTCTGGGATCATGTGATCCCCTTTTGTTACCTCCTTATAAGCAAATTCAATAGGGAATTTAACAACTGTATTACCAAAGAATGCAATGGCAAGAACGGTCATAAAATAGGGCAAAATTAACTGTTTTGTTCAGCAGCAGAAATTTTGGATTTAACTGGGATTGTAACTCGACTACCTGTATAATTTGTTAAAATTAATTTGATCTTCTTTTTAAGGTGATGGTGCTTTGATTTATCCCATTACCCGTACTTCAAATGCTCTCGCAAAAGCATGGAGCTACCTCATAAGGCCAAAGGCATCTTAGCTCATGTTAGCCGAGATTTATGGGATCTGAAATTCAGTATACTTGGAGGGCATCTGTTACCCCAGGAAGCAGCTGTCCGCTCCGAATTATATTTCTTTTCAACCATTAAAAGGGGCTTTTGCTACCTCCTTACAAGCAAAGTCAATGGGGAAGCCAGATTCATTTAACAACTGTATTATCAATTTAATAACTGCAATGATTCACTGAACATCTGGGAAAGATCGTAAAATGGGACAAAATTCACTGAACAAATGTTTCACTTAGTAACAGAAATATTGGACTCACTTCAGGCGTGGTATTCACTTACTTTCGCTACTGGTTCGCAAATGTGAGTGCACGCACGCACGAGCCTTCTGCGCATGCACAGAGGGTCAAAAACGGGACATGA